AGCACCCGGGTACCGAAGACGATTTCTACAAAACTATCCGGACCCTTCATACCTTGCAAGCTATCTTCAGGCTGTAAGCCCTAATTAAAGCCTAAACCTGCATACCGTAAGGGCTGGCTTCGCAATAGCGGGCCTGAACGGCGTGTACGTGGAGAGCCGCAAGAAGGAGACTGAGGGACCTGCTAGTAACTGCTAGTAGAACACATGCGACAAGAACACCGGCTGCGTGAGTCTGGGGCTACTGTTCAATGCTGTCAAGTCTGGGGTCCGGGGCTGTAGAGGCCAAAAACTGTAGCTGGAGAGCATGCTTGGAAGTTTGTGCAAGTACTCGTAGTGATCAGTGTTCGTGACAACCTGTCTGCATTGCACGTCCTCGTACGTTTCGGCGCAGCCCCTGAATCGTCGGCATCGCTGGTCGAGCTATTGGGGTCGTGCTATGCGCGTTCTCTTTCCGTCACGCGGTCTTGGCCGGATACTGTAGGGCACTGGATTTAGGCTAATCTGTGAAGGAGCTGATGGTCAATGACCGCGAGATCTACCACTCAAACAGCGAGCATTTTGGTGCGCACTGCTCTGGCTACGAACGCTCTTCATTTTTTCCATTCACTCATGAAGTGCTGGACCCGGGCAGAACGGCGATTAGACCGACTGATATGTTACTGGAATAACCAGATGCCGCGATGTCATGTGCTTGCAGCCGTTGGCGATGCTAGCGCAAGGTCCGAAGAGACCCGGCACTTCCTCTACTGGTCCAAGGCTCGCCGCATGGAGCAAGCATGAGCCAGCGGGTGAGGTCGCCTTGTAATGTCTGAGAATTCTCGAAGTCTCGAAGTGTAAGCGAAACGTTCCATATCGCCGTTTGAAGTCTTTAACACTGCATTTGTTGGAGCTGCGGTCCGAAGTCCGAAGTTGGGAAACAGCTGCTGCAGTTTTTATCAAGATCCGACTCTGGTCTTATCGGGCCAAACATTCCTGATAATCATCAGCACCACGACGACGACTACTACTACTAGTGCTACTACTACTTGCAATGTACTGCTATCAGCTATCACTACCACTACTGCTACTACCGCTGCTACCCCACGACTACGGACGCCGACACCGACTACGGCTGGTACTATAGTGCTAGTAGGCATGCGGCGCCCTTTCGGCCACCGGGTTCTGTGCGATTTCGGGTTCAGTTTGCAGGGACCCGAAAACAAGCGTTGACTCAACTCATGTCCAAGTGCAAAACTTCCAACACTGACAACCCTGCGACAACATGAAGAACGTGAGAAGCAGACACCCAAGCCCGACAGCATGCCAACTAGTACTATAGTATACAGTATACACACAGTAGTAGTAGTAGTAGTAGTAGTAGTAGTAGTAGTAGTAGTAGTAGTAGTAGTAGTAGTAGTAGTAGTAGTAGTAGTAGCAGCAGCAGTAGTAGTAGTAGTAGTAGCAGCAGCAGCAGTAGCAGTGACCGCGACAGTACTCCAGAGCAACAGAGAAACCTTGTATTTGCAAGCGAAATCCCGACGATGCCGACGAAGATGGAGAACAGCGAATATGTTGTTGTTGTCGTCGTCGTCGTCGTTCTTGTGGCTGTCGCTGCTGCTGTTGCTGTCGAAGTTGTTGTTGAAATTATTGATGCTGTTGATGCCGCTGATGTTGCTGATGTTTGCGATGATGGTGGTAGTGGTGGTGATGATGATGTTGTCGTTGCTGTTGCTGTTGTTGCTACTGTTGTTGTTACTGCTGCTGCTGCTGCTGCTGCTGCTGCTGCTGCTGCTGCTATTGCTGCAGTTGCTGTTGTTCTTGTTGTTGGTCTTGTTGGAGTTGTTGGTTGTTGTTTTTTGTCTGGTGCTGTTGTTCTTTGTCGTCGTCGTGGTTGTAGTCGTCGGTGTTATCGTGGTTTTCGCGGTTGCGGCCGCGGTGGCGGCGGCCATTATTGCAGATGACGTATTGCGACTGTCGCTGGTGATGGGATGATGGTTGGGGTTGTAGGCGTCACTTGTCATACTTGTTGTAGCACTCCGGAAAGGCCGAGTCGAGATGGAAGGGATCGCTCTTCAGCAACCTGCAGCTCATCCAGGCTTGCAAAGCGAGTTGACATCTGAACCATCATGAAATTTTCTTACGAGAACGCAGTAGCCCACGGCCGGCCGCAAAAGCAATATAACTCGAGTCACACGCGATGACACTGTAGGAGGGAAGGAGCTTGGCTGTGATCGGTGCCCCGCAGAATGCGGCGACTTGGCAACATCCGACACTTCTTGGGCTTGAAAACTGCGATTTCACGCCGCCAATTGCATGAAGTAGCGACAGACGCGTGATGATGGCACGGCAGAGAGAGCGAGATAGACAGACGCGAGCAGTTTGAACCTTTTGCCGGGCTGCCATTTCCTCCGGCTCGGCAAAGCTGGCGACGATGAATGTGAGGAAGCGTGGAGCATCCCAAGTGGCTTTAACACGCACTATGTCACGGTCATATGACATGTCGTACCTGCCACGAGGAAGGATGAAATGAGCAAGGCAGCAGTGACCGCAGTCATCCATTCTTTGCCACCGGTATGCGCTTTGATCGAGGACCTCCTCGATCCGGCCCTGCTCCGTGGATGGCACGCCACTTGGCAGAATGTTTGCTTCAGGTGCCCCGGTTTAGATACACATACTTTCACGCAGCTACACATACATTTACATGCATACATGAACTCACAAAATACACATTTGCAAGTATACGCATGCACATATCTACACGTATACTTGTGCACTCTCGCTTTTCTCGCTTTTCGGGCAAAGAATCCATGTTGGCTGCAGCCCAATGGCATTCCTTAATTAAGAAGAAGTGAAACGAAAAAGGGAATCCGGCGTCCCGGATGGCTCAAGGAACGTAAAGCCCCTCCTGTTGTGACTGCTCAATGCCCTGAGTGAGGCAACAGCACGGATGACCAGGTCAGCTGTGCATGGCACAATCAGGAGGGAAGGCACCCCGAGGAGGACGATCCTGAGGAAGAAACGGACTAAGTCAGAGGCGAACACAGCAAGTTCGTTTGACTTGTGCAGAGCATGAGTGCTCAAGTCCGTAGGTGGCGCAGGCGAAAGGAGGGGGAGAGCCGACAAGTCCAAGACAAAGGCAACTCCCTCAAAAGGCCCGTCCAGGAAGGAGGGCGGACTCCCATTCCTGAAGCACTGCAGACATTCAGTGTACGTGAAGTCCACTAGGCGGCACTCGTCAGTGCCAGACAGTGGGCGGGACAGATCCGGTCGTACTCGGACAACGGACAGGGAAGCCAGATCAACTCCAGGTGTCAGGACAGGAACTGGCTCACTTGTGCACTCACAAACATATGCAGCTGTGTGCTCATACACAGGCCTATCCAGAATATGCATACTTACAGACATGCATACATGTACCTACATACACACATACATTCATACATACATGCGTACTTACAGTGCATACAGACATATATACATATGCAAAAAATTACTTGCATGCTTGCACACCTACATGCCTACAGACACATAAGCAAACATACATACATACATACATACGTACATACATACATACAGGCCTACAGACATGCAAGGCCTAACATTGCATCCACCGTCATGTTTGCATGTGTATGTATGTATGTATGTATGTATGTCTGTATGTATGTATGTATGTGTGTGCACATGTATGTATGTACGTGCATGTGTACAAGTAGACCTCCACATCTATCCCTCTATCTATCTATCAATCTGTCGGTCGATCTATCGATGCATCCATGGTTCGATATTTCCATCTGTCCATGAGTAAAGCAACTTGTAGACGATCACATTGACCGACTGGGATGCCAATCAAAAAAACTTTTTTCAATCAAAATAACACTTTTTTCAATCAAAAAAAACTTTTTTTCAATCATTTTTTTCCAATCAAAAAAACTTTCCCTTATTAAAGGAAGCACGACAGGAAGGAAGGAAGGAAGGAAGGAGGGAAGGCAGGAAGAAAGGCAGCAAGGAAGGATGGCAGGAAGGAAGGCAGGAAGGAAGGAAGGAAGGCGGGGAGAAAGGGCGAGGAAGGAAGGAAGGAAGGAAGGCAGGAAGGAAGCAAGGCAGCAAGGAAGGAAGGCAGGCAGGCAGACCACTACCACTGCCACTACCACTACCACTACTACTACTACTACGACGACTACTACTACTACTAGTACTAGTACCAGTACTAGTACCAGTACTAGTACCAGTACTAGTAGTAGTAGTAGTAGTAGTAGTAGTAGTAGTAGTAGTAGTACTACTACTACTACTACTACTACTACTACTACTAGTACACATGGAGAAAGTTTTTTTTGATTGGAAAAAAGTTTTTTTTATTGGTGAAAAAGTTTTTTGATTTTCGCTGAAAGTTTTTTTTGATTGAACAAAAAGTTTTTTTTGATGGGTTTCCCGACTATCACGAGGCATCTGTCTATCTGCACATGCACACACAAGTCTACACAGGTTGAAGTAAATACGTAGATCATTTATATATGATCAGATCATATCATATGTGTGAATGGTCCGGCATCTCCCAGGCACGCGCACGCACACACACAAGCACACACACACACACAGACCATCCCCTCCCCTCTTCGGTAGGTGGGGAAAGGCGAGGAATCTCTTGAACATGTCGTCAGGATTCAGCTAGGTGCTAGAGCACAGTTTGGTGGATGGGTTCTTAGGATTCGTGTTAGGGTTTGACAATTGTACGGGGGTTTGTGGCTTCGGGCTTGAGGTTTTGGGTTCTGTGATCGCCTAGCCACGAGAGCTAGTGGGGTCGCATATGTTGAGTGCTATTTCCTTCGTATCTTCGGTGCAAGTGCGCTGATAACCCGGCAACACCACAGGAGGCCTGGATGCAAAAGGGATGATGCATAGTTCTTGTGTATGATGCTGTTGAGAGTGGTTGCATGTGTTTCTTCTTTCTTCAGGGTTCCCGGCAGTCGCAATAGGCCTGGATGCAAAAAGGGATGATGGACTTTTTCTTGCTGGCTGCAATCCATCACCAGAACTCGCTTTTCGATATGCCACCCCTTTTTGTTTTGAAGAGGCATTGGAAAAAAGCAGATGGCCCATGTGCACCTGTGGAAACAGCACCACATGCTGACAGGACAGGTTGCGCAAGTATAGAAGCCCTTTTGGTAACCAGTACCTGTATCATAAATTACCATAAGGGCTACAGCGATCCAGCTCAGGAGTGGGCAGATGGCACCTGGGCGTACCGAGCCCTGGCCGGTGTGGCCTTGCTTGGTTCCTTGGGCCTACCGGCTGCAAAGAGCCTCCGATTGAGAGGACCATGGGCAACATTCACAGTTCTTGCTTTCGTCCTACCGAACTTGTAGACCAAGTGCCGCTCACCAATCGGAGCTAGTGACCTTGCAAATATTTGTTGCGAATTTTGTGCCTTCGAGCCAGCTTGTTCTCATGCTTACACGGTGCAGCTACTTCGGAGCAAAGCAACAGCAGCAGCTGAATCGAAAGCCGCTATCTTGCAGACCGGAGCTGGGAAGCCCCCGCATGCATACAATCCCAAATCTGTGACGCATCCATCTTTATGCACTGGATGTTTGTCACATGACGTCTTGGGCAGTCGTACCAATTAAGCGAGTCGTCGGCCTAGCGCTGCTAGCATAGTGCTGAGGAGAAGACCTGGTCGTCAAAGACAAGGCGGATTGTTGTCCTCTTTCTTGCTGTCTGTCTGTTTGTCCCTCTGTTTCTTTCACTACTTCTTTATCTCTCTCTTCCTCTCTTCCTCTCTCTTTCTTTCTCTCCCTCTTTCTCTCTCTGCTGACCTACGAACGGCTTCTGCTCGCATGGCTCTTGGTCTTGAGTGAGTTTTGCCAGGCTCTGAGAAATCAGGATGCCGAGGGAACAAAGAAGCGGCCCCTCGGTACTTTTCCGGGCGCTGGAAACTCTTGGGTCAGAAGATGGGGCATTTTTGGCCTTGCGGAATCCTGTCTTAGCCGAAGGAAGCGAGACGACGAGGCGCCCAGGCAGAGCTCGCCACGAGAGGAGCTGATTAAGGCTGTGGGACTGGGCTCAGGGCGCACAAGGGCTGACGGAAGAGTGCTGCGATTGTGCAGGAAGTCTTTGCATACTTCGACTCCAATCGTGATGGCTTGCTGAAAGCCTCCGAGATGCTTTCCTTCGTGCCTCGGACTCGAGTGAGTTAAGCTTTGCATTACAGTCCTGGCAATGTGCGCTGAAGGAAAGAGTCTCATCAGGCAGTGTTGCTTGTTGAGGCCATGCTAGAAGAAAGACAAAAAGTAATCACATTGACCACAGCAGCCCAGTAGGAGCGACAGCAGGAGGACAACGCAGATATGCTTTGCACAGACAGGCCCGTTCGGTGGGCTTCGACGGCGCAGAAGATCAGTGGGACGAGGTACCGGTCCGTTGAAGCTCTGAGGGCCTTGCGAACCCGACAACAGCAGCGCTGCTCCTGCTCCTCCTGCTGCTACATCGACTGCCAATGCTACTGAATCACTGAATACTGACTACTACTACTACTACTACTACTACTACTACTACTACTACTCCTACTACTCCTACTACTAGTACTACTACTACTACCACTACTAGTACTACTACTACTACTACTACTACTACTACTACTACTACTACTACTACTACTCCTACTACTACTCCACCACTGTTCAGTCCTTTGTGCCGTGGAGCGAGGCGGGGGCATCCTTTTTCTTGTCTAGTGATGTTGCACAGAAAGGTCCCTCCTTGTCTCGTCCGGAACCTTGTGCAAACCTGCAATGCGGGGTGTGAGAGCCGCGCCAAGCGGGAGCCAGAAATACCACCTGCTATTGCTGCTGCTCCTGCTGCTGCTGCTGCTGCTCCTGCTGCTACTGCACCTGTTACTGTTACCTCGACTTCTGCCGCTGTACTCCTACTCCAACTCCTATTCCCACTCCTCCTCCTCCTGCTCCTGCTGCTGCTGCTCCTCCTCCTCCTACTACTACTACTACAACAACTACTCCTACTACTCCTACAACAACAACTACTACTACTACTGCTACTACTGCTACTAGTACTAGTACTACCACCACTACTACTACTACTACTACTACTACTACTACTACTACTACTACTACTCCTACTACTACTGGGATCCAAAACTACTACTACTACTACTACTACTACTACTACTACTACTACTACTACTACTACTACTACTACTACTACTACTACTACTACTACTACTACTACTACTACTACTACTACTACTACTACTACTACTACTACTACTACTACTACTACTACTACTACTACTACTACTACTACTACTACTACTACTACTACTACTACTACTACTACTACTACTACTGGGATCCAAAACTACTACTACTACTACTACTACTACTACTACTACTACTACTACTACTACTACTACTACTACTACTTCTACTACTACTCCAACTCCTACTCCTACTCCTACTCCTACTCCTACTCCTACTCCTACTACTACTACTACTACTGCTACTACTACTACCACTACCACTACCACTACCACTACTACTACTACTACTACTACTACTACTACTACTCCTACTGCTACTGCTACTGCTACTGCTACTGCTACTGCTACTACTACTACTACTACTACTACTACGACTACTACTACTGACTACCACTACCACTGAAACCAATACCACTACCACTGCCACTGCCGCTGCCACTAGCACTACCACGGCCACTGCTGCTGCCACCACTACTACTACTACTACTACTACTACTACTACTACTACTACTACTACTACGGCGGCGACGACGCTACTACTGCTACTGCTACTGCTACAACCACCACTACCACTACCACTCACACTACCACTGCCACTGCCACTACCACTACCACCACCACCAACAACAACACCACAACCTCTTGCTTTTGTTACGAAAACTCTTGTTAACTTTCAGGAGTATCGGCTCATTTGTGACGGCCTCGGCCGTCGGCCGGAGCATGGCATTGACCACGGCTCCTTCTTCCGGCTGGTCAACGAGGCCTCGCGCATATTGTCAGAGGTGGTGCGTGCGGCGGAAGCTCACGTGACCGTCTTCACACAATGGCTAGAATCTAGATCGTTTGGGCTGTCATAATTTGTCCTATGCGTCGGATTTGTTTCTCAATTCTGTTCGACTCTTTTCGTTCGGTTGATCTGTGCAGGACACAGACGACGGGTGCTACTGCTCGGACAAGGACGTCTGTCGGAGCAATCAGTCCCGGATCCAAGAAAACCGTTGGCTCACGGGTTCGGCTGCGTTCGCACGGGCATGTTAGAGCCCTTGCCACTGCTTCCAGTGATCCCTACAACGCCCCGAGGAGCTGGCAGGCATGCTCGGGCGGAAATGGCCGCCCCCCAGAGTTGTGCCATTGCCTCGGAAAGTCGTTGCCACTTCCCTGGAAAGCGCGTCGAATCCGTCGTCAGGGCAAGCAGATGCAGTTTGCCCAGGGCGGAAATCGCGAGATGTAGAGTGTCCGGACCGCTTCGTTGGAAGGGCTGGGTGTCGAGGCGGCTCCGTTCGTCTCCATCACAGAAAGAAATGGCCATCTGCGTGATGGTGCGGGTTGTGGGGCCTGGAGGGCCGGGTGATGGCGGGTGAGAGTGTTCTTCACAGGTGCCGCCTTTAAGGGGATGAAACCGTGAGTGAGGTAGATGCAGCCGGCTTCGACTCTGCCCCCATGGCTGTCGCTGCTTCGTTGTGCTCAGGTCCTAGCATCCCTCCTGGCTGCTAAATTGCTGCGTGTGAGTGGCCATGGTCACACTGGACTCATTGGGGCCGAAAGCTTCTTTTGCAGAGGCAGAGAGGCAGATTAGATCGGATCAACTCGTCAACACAGGGATCAGGCGGCTCCTAAATGTTTCAAGTGTGCTGGAATCTCGGGATTGACAAACCGTGTCAAGCTCCGGCAACCGATTCTTTGGTAGCTTAGGGCTCTCACCATCCGCACCTCTGGAGTGCGGCGGTCGGGCAGCGTTCCAACCCCACAGGCTTCGTGCGATCGAAGAGAGATGGAAAACACCTTGGGCAAGCCTGGCATGCAGTGTCCACTAGAGCTATGCGAGTCCTTAGAATGGGCCGCGGTCCTCTTCAGATGTTTTCTTACTTTGGCCAGCTTACCTACCAGGACCGAGTTAGACCTAGCTATGCGAATGAAGCTGGGAGCAAAGAACGAGATCGTAAAGGTTCTTCACTGATCAAGACGTCCGAATAGGCATGATGGGCTCTTCTTGCATGGCCAGCGAGGGCTTGTAACTATGGAGATGCAGTGAAGGCTCTAGCTTATGTCAGAACGTTAAGATTGCCGAGTTTGAGAGTTTCTGCTTCGCAGCGGGCGGGTGCCATACACAGCCTTAGGGAACTGAGCCTCCTGTCCTCAGCACTCCAACTCCTGCTGCGACACGAGGGCCTCGGACCCACGCCCTCTGTGCAGCCGAGCGTCGAGGCTGCCAGACTGGAGGTGGGGCATGAAAGCATTATGAAAGCAGCGATCAAGTAAGGAGTAAGGCATATCAGCATATCAGTTATCAGAGTAGAAGATAGTTGAAGCAGCAGACGCCCGCGGAGACCCAGGCATCCTAGGTGTGAGGCAGACGCGACGTCTCTGTTTTTGTACGCTGCTCCCCAGTGGGCGAGAAAGGTGAGTAATTGGCACTATCAAGTTTCTGTTCCCAATTTCCTGGCTCAGAAGCCTGTCAAAGAACGGGCTGCCTGCCTGACAAAAGGCTTTCTAAGCGACTGCGAAGATCATGTTGAAGAGTTTGGGAGCCGTTTTACCGCGTTGTCATGGTCGAGAGAGAGCTGTCTTAAGTCTTATGGAAGTGAACTTTCAGGGCCAGCACGAACCGAAGCCAGCGACCAAATAAGCTTTAGTTGCTTGGCGCCCATGGCCCGGCGCTGTGAAGCCCATCTGGCGCAGCGGTAGGAGGCGGGAGCCCGCAAGTAGCAAGAGGTGCTACCAAGAGTCGGTGAGGCCGGCCAGGCTGCCAATGGCATGGGATCCCCTCCGCTCATGGCTTCCGGACCCTTGGAAGACCGATTTGTCCACACGTTCTTAAGCTTTTGGCTCCGCTGATCGGTTTCTACTTGCGTTCTACCATAGAGACCCACGTTCGTAGCGTCGATGGGGGAGTCGCAGGCTAGGGCTTGTGTCCCCATCTTCACGCGACCCCGCTACTCCGCTCGTCCCGCTGAGGACATCGCTGCTTTCCTCGCGCTGCTCCTCTCCGTCATGGCAGCCTTCGGCTCCTCGGACCTCGTCGTTGATGGGGACTCCGTGAGTGCGCGGATGCGGATGCGGGTATCGGGCTTGCGATGCTCCGGCTGAGGATGGTGATGATCTGATGATCAGTGATGCTCATGTTCAATATGTTCATGGTTATCGGTTATCACACCATCACCATGACTTCGGCACACTTCCCGTCAACACAAACAGAGCAGCACAGCTGACCCAAGATCCTTCGCCATGTTGTTCATGCGGGAAAAGGCGATCAGAAGGCGATGTGCCAAAGAACCCACATCGGCTGCCTGACTGCCCGCCCAAACGAGCGGAGGACACGTTTGAGCTTGTGATGAGGCCTGCAGCAGATCGGTGCCTTTGTAAATCCGACAGGCTTCGTCCAAAGCTTCGGGGCAACCTCGGAGGCGGGAGCATGTTGTTGCAGGGCCGGGGATGGCAGAGCCCTATAGACGGTGCTATAAACGGAGAGAGAGACTTCGGTTTTGGAGCGGTCGCCGTCGCCGTCGCGCTCTTTCCTTTTGGAGGCCGCGCAGCTCCGGGCCTGGGCGGCGCTGCCCTGGAAGCCGGTGCCCTGCTCCGTGCAGCGCCTCGGCGAAGATAGCTGCGAACAAAGACACTGTGCCATGCGCGAACATAGCGGAGTATGCAGGTATGACGTGACATGCTGCACCAGCGCATCATGTCGCCACGTGCGTGTTAAGCGGCGTGAGGTACTGTAACGACGTTAAAGATATGACATTGAACTCTGCTCTCAATGTATAGAGGCTGGATTAGGAAAATGTCTCCAATGACGTAAAGAGGAATCTCCTCATTCGAAGGAGGTTACATGAGACACCCTCACATGTGTGAAGCCCCGCTGGCTGCTAGACAAGCCCGAGTGCTCAGGGACATGGGCGTGGCTTACCGGGGCACCTGCAGCCTCGACTCGGACCAGGAGAGATACGAGGAGACCGGCTACAAACCCCAACCTTCGCATGGATTGCCCGATATTCCAAACCCTTTCCCATCTTCCGGTAGACTTGTGAAATGTTGTGAATCATGGCCGAGAGCATAGTTTCTCGCCTGGCAAGCCCTGAGTCTGATCCTCGGAAGCCCAAAATCGTGGCTTTTGGGAGACATGGACATGCTCCCACAGGTGATGCTAGCTCTTGTTTATGAGGTGTGTTGCAAGCAAGTGCCAGGCTATGACATAACAGTGTGCCTGTCCAAATAGTCGTGCTCGCAGAGGCTTTTGTGTAGCTTCGGTTGGTGTGCTTGCGGTGGTATTGCTTGTGTGGTATGGGCGGTGTGGTTCGGGACTTGTTTGGTGGGACTTGGTACTGATTTTTGTTCGGAGTGGTACTGTATTCAAGCTCGAATTGGGAGGCCGATGCAGCAAAGGAATTGGGGCTTAGTTTTTTTAGGGTTTGGTGGTTATTTGCTTGATTATCGCACTCAGTTACATGCTGTCTTGCTTCAGCCATGGTGGCCTTCAGAATTCAGTAAGCTGCGGAAAAGAAAGAGGCGCACAAAAAGGGAGCTGTGGCTGTGTGTGTGTGTGCGCGTGTTTATATGAGCACACCTGTCTGTCTGTCCTTACGGGATTTGGGGCAAGATTTAGGGCTGAAAGATCGATTTGTGGTTCGAACGGGTTGCATGGGGGACAAGGAGAAAGACTTTGCCGAGTGCTTGGGAGCCTCCGACGATGCTCCTGGATGCTTGCACCCGACTTGCTGTGCCGTCGAGCTTTAACACATCAATTTCCGGCGTTGTAGAAGTTTGAATCTCGATGCTTTGCACCGAAACTGTGGGGGCTGGTTCCAGTGCTTCTCTGTAGCCTACGACATCTAATGTTGAGAGTGATTCTGAAAGTTCTTCCCGTGACTGCGCCTGCTGTGCAGACAGTGCATTCTCGTGTGTTTGAGCTGGTGCGATCTGCTTAAGCTCAACGCAAACATGTGGCTGTTACACACTGAGGAGAGAGCCTCAACCAAGTTGTCGACAGGGCCCGGTTCAACTCCACTCAAGGACTTTGTGGGTCGCTCGGCTCAGCTGTGGATCAGTGCTCTTGTTGCTCTAGCTCTAGCATCTCATATGTCGCGCCGGGCTTTAATTTATGTTTTCACTGCTGATTCTCCGCAGCCGTTCTGGCTAGAGTATTTGTCGTGCTCCAGGCGAACTTGCAATTACCTGGATCCTGCTAGATCCCGCGTGCTTGCAATCATGGCTTTGAGCGGTGCTGGCAGCTCTGTGGCGTTCGCCATCGCTCCGGCCACCGCAGTACGCACGTGTGCGCCTGCTCATGCGGAGGCTAAGCCTGCACCTGGAAAGATCTCGCAAAGCTCCCTTCCAGTCGCCTGCGCTGGGTTGATGGTCCCGGTGCTGGGTGCTGTTCGTCGTGGCAAGAAAAAGTTGAAGACAGCCATGAAAGATGCGACGTATGCCTTCCAGAAGGATGCCTACGCAGACTTGGAGTTCACCAATGACGTGGGCTACCTGCCGGATGGTACTCCACTTAACAAGGCAGGAAATGCTGTCAACCACCCGGAGACGATTGGAGCAGACAGGCATGTTGCTGGCTCGCCTCTGCCCCGTGCCAAGTTCGTGAATTCCGTGGGCTACTTGCCAGATGGGACTGCAATGAATGCTGCTGGAAATGCTATTAATCACCCGGAGGCGATGCAGCCAGACCAGCACATAGCCGGTTCGCCGTTGCCTCCTTCAACCTATCTCGCCGACATTGGCTACCTCGCGGACGGCACACCTCTTGCCACGGCTGGCAACAACTCCGTCAAGGGCCCGCCTGCCACGCCAGCTGCAGCTACAGCCACAGCTGCGCCACCTCGCATGGTTTCATCGGCACCCCCACCGGCATCAACCCCCGTGAGCCAGGGAATCGCCATGCACGGCCGCAAGTTCGAGTACAGTTTCCAAAAGGATGCTTATGCTGACCTAGAGTTTAACAATGATGTGGGCTACCTTCCAGACGGCACTGCGCTGAACTGTGCTGGGAATGCCATCAACCACCCGGACACCATTGGACCGGACAGACATGCTCCAGGATCTCCGCTGCCCCGTGCCAACTTTGTGAACTCTGTCGGCTACCTCCCAGACGGTACGCCCCTCAATCGCGCCGGCAACGCGATCAACCATCCCGAAAGCATTGGGCCAGACATGCACACGCCGGGCTCGCCATTGCCGGCTTCAGTGTATGCTGCCGATGTGGGCTACTTGGTGGATGGAACTGCATTGGAGACGGCTGGCAACAACTCCGTCAAGGGCACGGCTGCCACCCCGCCTGCAGCTACAGCCACAGCTGCGCCACCTCCCATGGTTTCATCGGCGCCAACAATGGCATCAACTCCCGTGAGCCAGGGAATCGCCATGCACGGCCGCAAGTTCGAGTACAGCTTCCAAAAGGATGCTTATGCTGACCTAGAGTTTAACAATGATGTGGGCTACCTTCCAGACGGCACTGCGCTGAACCGTGCTGGGAATGCCATCAACCACCCGGAGACCATTGGACCGGACAGACATGCTCCAGGATCTCCGCTGCCCCGTGCCAACTTTGTGAACTCTGTCGGCTACCTCCCAGACGGTACGCCCCTCAATCGCGCCGGCAACGCGATCAACCATCCCGAGAGCATTGGGCCAGACATGCACACGCCGGGCTCGCCATTGCCGGCTTCAGTGTATGCTGCCGATGTGGGCTATTTGGTGGATGGAACTGCATTGGAGACGGCTGGCAACAGCTCCGTCAAGGGCACGGCTGCCATCCCGCCTGCAGCTACAGCCACAGCTGCGCCACCTCCCATGGTTTCATCGGCACCAACAATGGCATCAACTCCCGTGAGCCAGGGAATCGCCATGCACGGCCGCAAGTTCGAGTACAGCTTCCAAAAGGATGCTTATGCTGACCTAGAGTTTAACAATGATGTGGGCTACCTTCCAGACGGCACTGCGCTGAACCGTGCTGGGAATGCCATCAACCACCCGGAGACCATTGGACCGGACAGACATGCTCCAGGATCTCCGCTGCCCCGTGCCAACTTTGTGAACTCTGTCGGCTACCTCCCAGACGGTACGCCCCTCAATCGCGCCGGCAACGCGATCAACCATCCCGAGAGCATTGGGCCAGACATGCACACGCCGGGCTCGCCATTGCCGGCTTCAGTGTATGCTGCCGATGTGGGCTACCTTGTTGACGGCACACCAATGGACCGTGCGGGTAACCTTTCTGTTTCAACATGACCTGGCAGATCCCATTTGCTTGAGCTCCTGCTGCGTGCAGATTTCGCAACATCGAATCAGCTAGAGTACATTGCTTAGGTCGAAATCTAGGCTTCTGCAAATAGTCAGGTCGTGGTCTGCAGACGATTAGACGTCACTTTTGTGCGCTTGCAGTTGCTGGCGACGTCTGGGAAATGCCCAAAGGAGTCATGAAGTCGTAGGATTTCAAGCTGTAACTGTAGATCGGAGCCTTCGGAAGACAAAGCTGAATTCAGCTTTCCCAACGATGGCATGTTTCAATCTTGAACAGAGCTGGCTGCATTAAGTTGCCGCCACGCTCCGATACAAGTGCATGCATGAATGTCTGAACAGCCCCGCTTCGGTTTCAAATGCACCCTGCTCCATGCGCCAAGTGTTCAGCTTCTACACCATCCGGGGCTGATCCTGCCATGGTGCTGCAGCTGCTTTGTGGTGATGGTGAACCATGCCGTTATGAATATGTCGGCACTGATTGATGACGATGGCTTCTTGTTATAGTTCTTTGCCTTGGTTGTTGATGTGGTTGCTGTTGCTGCTGCTGTTGCGATGTTTTTTTTTTTGTTGTGGTTCTTGTTCCTGTTGGTTGTTGGGTGTTGGGTGTTGTCGATGTGGTTGTTGTTGTTGTTGTTGTTGCTGCTACTGCTGCTGGTTGTTGGTTGTGGTTGTGGCTTCGATTGTGGTTGTGGTTGCTGCTGCTGCTGCTGCTGGTGCTGCTGCTGCTGCTGCTGGTGCTGCTGCTGCTGCTGCTGCTGCTGCTGCTGCTGGTTGTGACTGTGGAGGTTGGTGGTCCTTGCTGTATTGGCTGTGTTTGCTGTGCTGGCTTTGCTGGCTTTGGTGGCTTTGGTGGCTGTGCTGGCTGTGGTTGTGGTTGCTTTTGCTGTTAGTGGTGGTGGTCGTGGTTGTGGTTGCTGTTGTTGAAGTTGTCGCTGTTGTTGCTGCTATTGTTGTTGTTGGTGGTGGTGATGATGGTTGTGGTGGTTGTGGTGGTTCTCGTGGTTGTGCTGGTTGCGGTGGTTGCGGTGGTTGTGATGGTGATGGCGGCGGCGGCGTCGGTGGTGGTGGTGGTCTTGGTCTTGGTTTGGGTATTGGTGATGTTGGCGGTGTTGACAGTGTTGGTGTTGGTGGTGTTTCTGGTGCTGGTGGTTTGGGTAGTGTTGCTGTCGTTGGTGTTGTTGGTTTTTGTATGCTCCTGCTGCTGCGGCTGCTGCTTCTGCTGCTGTTCTTGACATTGGTGTTGGTGTCGGTGTTGTTGCCTTGTCGTCATTGTCGCGATTGTTGTGCTTGTTGTGGTTGTGGTTGTAGTTATTGTTGTGATGTTTGTTGTTGTTGCCGTTGCGGTTGCTGCTGCTTTTGCCTTTGCTGTTCCGGTTGTGGTGATGGTGGTGGTGGTGGTGGTGGTGGTGGTGAAAGTTGGCGGATTTTGCTGTCGTTGTTACCGTAGTCGTTTCTCTTGCAGCGAATGACCGAAGGTTACTGCTAAAGTGTGACCCCGTCCGAGGCAAGTGTCAACTTCGAGGTTCCAGGCTCTTGGCGGAGAGACTTGGCTCTGGCACTGGAGTCGCGAATTTGCCGCTCCGCTGTGGTTTGTTTTGTTGGACAGATGGCCCAAAGCCAGGAGTCGACCTCTTCTGGGCGGAGACTTCTGATGCGTGACTTGGTTGATGTCAGCCCAAGCCTTGCAGGGTAATTAATCCCTACAAAACAGACCAGCCCACGACGCCTTTCTGGCAGTGCTGAAGTCGTCACAGCTAGCTCTCCCAGAAACTTAAACACTTGGTCGGCAAGAGGCTGCTGGAGCCTCTTGGTCTGATTGACACATGGCTATACGGCTATACTTAACTAGTTAACGGCACGCGTGCCCATGTGAGACGAGAGATACGAGTTGGTGAGACATTTGCTTAGTTGTGCGTGATGGTGTTTGGTTCACCTAATCGGTGTGGTCCGCCAGCTGTCGTAAACTCCCCGCCAAGTGCTCGCTCTCCTGACAACCCGCAGCTTTCTTCCTTCTCTGTAGAATTTGTGCATCTGCAGCTCGACTTTAGCCCAGCAGCAATTCCTGGCAAAGCAGGGCCACTTGCTTCTGAAGCCAGCTCAGATTTCTTTCACCCACGTGGTCCCGGAGACATGGTGGGATCTCGCTTCATTCCGATTGCTTGGCGCTGCCACGACAGCCGCTGGCACAATTAGGGCTTTCGCAGGTTGTCACAGTCGGATAATGCCTGCAGAAGACACTCATGCTGCTTGCGATGTTTCGGGGTTACACGGGTCTACACACTTCTGCGCGGGAGAGTTTGTGTCAACCTTGCGTCTGAGGTTACCTTCCCTGGGCAGTCGTCCGCCTCGACGAGGGCGTAAGATGCGCCATGGCTTATACATGCACAGGCCCGTAGGATTTGCGATCACAGTTGAAGGTGAGCGCCACAAGAGAAGTGGCCTTTTGGAGGTTTAAGGCACCCTGGAGGGCTGGGATATCTTAGACACTTGTTCGGAACAGTTTCAACGGCCCGAATGGCACTAATATAAGACTGGGGCGACAGCGTGAAGAGATCTTGTGTTTCGAAGATTACCGGACCATCAAAGGCTGATGATGCCGTGCTAGCCTTCCATGCAGACTTCACAATTTCCTTTCAGCGTTGCAGAATGCCTGAGCCAGGCTACAGTCTACAGAGCAACACGCTTCACTGAACAGGTGTGCCTCAGTTGCGTAGTGCACCTGAGCTCCGCAAGTGAGGCGCTTATGCCTTTGGTGCGCCGAAGGTCGGCATTGGAGTCATTGGAGCGGGTGGTGGACATTCGGCGTGGAGGGTTGTGTAGTTGCAGCAGACCATGTGGGGCTGCGTCGAGTGCACAGAGGAAAAGCTGGTCAGCAGGTCCAGCCGGCAACAGAAGCCTATCACAGCAGTCTGGGCGAAGAAGGCTGTCGTTCGGTGATCGGTGCATGCTGCGTCGGAGGCCTCTGTCTACAGAAGGTGGAGAGATGTACAGCTGCTAGGTGGCATGTTCCAGGGCTTGCTGCGGCTTTTGGCATTCTGATTAGCTTCTCTTTCAAGCAGCTCTCTTATGTTTCAGATGAGGGCTTGGGGTGGGCTTCGGGTTCAGTGTGCAGGGTCCGACGGTTCCGAGACAAGTCAGAAGCACACTTAGGCGTGCACGGCAAGACAAAGAGCAGCCGCAATGTAGCCTGGAGCTTCTATAATAAACGCGGCAACATCACAGCTGCAGCAGCAACAACAGGAGCAGAGCAGCAATCAGCAATCTTACTGTGATGTCCGGCGGCATCCTTAAGCGCGGGGTGGAGCGATCTTGACCCAGGGACGATCTTCAAGATCTTGGCCTTGCGAGGCTCGACAGGCAAAAGCATCGGCTTGGTCTGTTTCGAGGATGTTTCGCAAATCTGCTTCACCTACATCGTCATGTAGAGTAGAGTCAGTACAGCAGAGTTTCGCAGTAGGGTGCAGATCATATCAGATCATCTGCCAGCACCGCGCTTGGATGCCAGTGCCTTTCGTTGGCCCTCATGAAAAAGTGCAAGACTTTCATGTGAGACTCAGGAAAGGCGCGACGGATGGTGCGGAGCCTCTCGGCTTAGTCGCCCTGTGTGGTCTGGGAGGGCCGGGTTGGGTGCAGTCACCTTGGCCCAACCTGGACGGCTAAGCCAGAGATTGTCGCATCATGAACCTAAGGTAACTAGGTTGAAAAGAGCCGCAAGCCAAAAGCCTCCCCAGTGCTCTCCCGAGGTGCTGGCGCCCTGAAGGGGACCTTTGCACCGTCGCCCTGAAGTCCAACGTATTCCTGATGGAGCTCGAGGGCAGCAAGCAGGAGGCCAGCCATGAAGCTATTGATTCAGTTGGTTGCCTTCTGTTCCACGCCGCTTTTAACTGCCAGTGCACAAGTCTATGCGGGCATCAGGTGAAAGGCCAGCGTACTCGCGAAGTAAAACTCCAGACCGTAAGCCACGAGCCCGAGAATGGCACCAGACAAACCCTAAATCACAGAAAGCAGAAAGCAGTTGCGTTATGTGTTGCAAGAGAGTTGTTGCTACCATAGTGACGATGCCTCCTAGTGCAGTCTCACTCAACAGACTCCGAGCCATGTGCTTCGCCTGGATTGTCCGAGTGTGAGCGCCGAAATCACAGAACCCTGGGACAGGTTTGGCGCAATGTCGCGATTGCCTTGACATCGGTTTCCTTGGCTCTGGCTGTCCTGGCAGCCTCTTACCGCCGTCGATTTGCCCATGAGCTGGTGCCTTTGGCAGGGCTTTACGGCGAGCAGCGAGTGTCTACGGCCCTTCAGCGCTCTTTAGGGCCTTTAGGCTTTGGGGGTTTGTTCTGGGCTTGCCTTGCCGTTCTCAGAGTCAAGCCTAAGGCCGATGAATCAGCTGAGATCGCAAGAAAGCGCGGCCTCAGCCCAGAAGCCCAGAAGAGAAAATCGAAGAAACTGTGAAACGTAGAGATCAGAGTGCTACTCACGTCAGGTGCCGACAGAGGATCCAGATTGCCAGGACGGGATCCCTTCAGCTAGTACGCAAAGGGCCCCGATGGCCGGATTTCAGAAGAGACAGGTTTTGCATCCATCCGACCTCTAAGGGTGGACTTGATTTCGCTCGTAAAGGTCAGACTGCGGGTGACTGTAGAATGTCGGACGTGATAAAGGCCCAACACTGAACATGTTCACCGCAGCATTCGTTTCGTTAGGGCAGCACTGAACGGGAGACGGGAGATTGGATACGGGTTGCCAAGACCGGAGTCTTGTTGGAGTGTGCCGGCAGCCGGCAGCCATCTTCAGCAGCGCAGCGTCACTGAGAGAGGAGGCCGAGTCTCTGTCTGCACGTGTTCGCCGACTGGTGGCCGGCGCGGCAGCGAAGGTTTCTGCTTCCTGCCTGAACTCGAGCCGTCGCGTTCAGCAACCGCTTGCAAGACGGCCCAAGTTCACTTCACAGCGAGCCAAGATGTGTGTCTGTCTCTCTCTCTCTCTCTCTCTCTCGCCGAGGAAAGTACCCCTCAGCTCTCGGCTCGGAGCTCCCGGCGCACTTTGCGTGCCGACCGCTTCATATCGGGCAATGGGAGGCCAGGGGCCAGGTCTTTTCATGGGCATTCTACGAACTCCGAACTTGATGTAAGCAGCCCGTGCCATAAAGGACTTCGGCCCGCCATGCACCCCACGCCATCTGCCAAATTTTCATAGACGGTTCGAATTTGGACGTTGAGTAAGGATGACCGCCCTCCTTCGATATCAGAGGGATACAAGCTGGAAGTTTCTGAACTGAGAGCCTCTGCGTTTGGAGTCGTGCCAGTTCATGATGACCCCACGGATCGGTATCTGTTCAAGGTCATCCGGCTTTTCGTAACATGTGCTATCTCACCTCTTGATCACCACAGTATACCGGTAACATCGAATAACCAGAGTGATAGTGAGAGGCTGAGCTCACTGAATCTTAAATCGGTTGCAGGCCGAATCAAAACCTTGCTGCGGACTTTGCAGATGCGGCTGCTCGCGCCCGAAG